TCCACCAACTGTCATATTAGTGAGGCCAGCATTGGTCACAGTTGGATGGGCCCAGTGACTCAGGGTCTCAGGGTTGCACCTCCCCAAGTGAGACACTCAGCACCAACAAGGGCCAGAAGAAGCACCAGCCAGAGAGAAGGTGCTGGAGAATCACACACCCCACTTTTCCAACTGCCCTGAGCATCTTAACTTCTTCAGCAGATAAGTGCTCCCAGCGGCTTTGATTGAAAAGTGTCCATGTGCAGAGTAATTTTTATTGTATGGTGTGCATCAAGTGTGCATCAAGCGTGCATCAAACATGTGTCTCATGGCCATGAGCAAACAAGCTGTAGTGGCTGCCCTAACCCACCCCTGGAAAAACACATAGAGAAATAGAGAGAGGGCAGAGAGAGGAGTAGAGAGAGGGAGAGCAAGAGAAAGACATAGAGATACAGAGACATATATACAGAGAGAGGGGGGAGAGAGGGAAGAGAGAGAGAGATACATAGAGAGAGGGGGAGACAGAGAGAAAGGGAGAAGGAGGGAAGGAGAGATAAATACAGAGAGAGGGGTAGAGAGAGGGAAGAGAAAGAAAGACAGAGGGGGAGAGAGGGAGCGGGAGAGCAGAGAAGAGGGAGGGAGAGAGGGAGAGAGAGAGATGTCAAAAAGGTTGTGTGGTTCCCAGTATTTTTTAACAACCAGTTTTCTGTCATAATAGCCTGTTGGGTAGGCATGGCTAGGGAGTCATGTGACTGGATGAGGTGAGTGATGTGGGAAATGGGTCCAAATTGCTCTTGGAGTTTTTAAGTTTGCAGATCCCTGGCCTAGTAAAATGGCTTCAACTTGTACTTAAAAAGCACTGACCTAGTCAGAAAAAAAGCACAAATGTAGAAAAGGGTTTTGTAGTTGGATAAAGCAGAAGTGAACTCTCAAGAAAGATTATGAACAGATGGAAGAAGCCCTGCAGAACTAATGATTTACTAATACTACATCTGCTACTAATAGATAAGGCAAAGAGTACTCTCGATAAGAACAAGGGGAGGTTATTATTCCTATGGGACTTTGTTATTGGACTACACGTAACATTACTCTATAAATTGCACTTGTCAAACAGGTAGAATAAACTTGGCTCAAATCAAATCACTTGCTGAAAAGGGCTGGGTATTTGTTTTCTTTCCCTTTGCAAGCACCCAAAGCAGGCATGAAATCCTCTTATGTTTTGCTATTGGTTCAGAACCAGTATGTGCAGAGCAATGTTCCCTCTAATTTTTTTTCAGTTTGGGCGGAAAAGTATAGTGTTTGAGCAGCACATTTTCATGCCTGAGCACCTGAATTTTTTTTACAGATGTCACTCAAGACAACGACAAAATCAGTGTTATATCAAATCAAACTANAAAAAAAGTCATCTGATGGAAAATATTCACTGAGGAATTTGATTACTAATGTTTTAGGCAGAATTGGCATGTTTTTATTATCCTGAAGGGATGGCAATTCGGCATCAATAGTTTGAAGACCAGGGTACAATAAAGCTTGAATTTTGAATTTAGTCTTGACGTCAGGGTCATCTAGAATCTAGAAAAGGAAAGTATTTATTAGAAATATTTTTCCTATGAAAGATGGCTTATTTAATATGTTTCATATTTCATAATGTAAGCCATTTTCTATCTTTTTTATTCAAAATTGTAAGGGAAAAACCTTAACTGATATGTTTTTCAAAGTATTTGTAATCTGGGAATTTTCTACACTAATGGCTTTTGAAGAAAAATACAAATAAAATACAAAAAGATATATTATTACATTTGCTAACCAAAGGATATCTTGAAAACTTCAGTATGTTCCAATCTTATGCATCAATGACTATAATATAACTATTCTTTATCATTACTCTGTGGAGTTTAAATGCTTTAGGAATTATTTGATTTTTTTCCAATTCATTTTCATAATCAAAATAGGCTGGATAGGGGAAAAGAGCAGAGTGAGGGATAATTTAAAATTCTTCTCCTTGTAAAGTACAGGTCATGTCCGACTCAATATACTAACATTGTCCCAAAAAGTGACCTCTTATTCCCCCAAAATTATTTTTTCTTGATAAATTTTTGTTTGTTTGCCTTATGTCTTCACCACTCATATAAATGTTAAATTTACTTTGATAGTGTTGTTGAGCTTCCTTTATTCTTGCAATGGAAGTGAAGTTACATCTTTCACTTATATTTAGGACGCTATAATTAAGTATAATCTTTATTGTCATTGTACTTAAATACAACAAAATTGGTTCCTAATGTGAAAATGCTCCATGGGAAAGTATACAGGTAGTCCTCAACTTACAACAGCTTGTTTAGTGACTGCTCAAAGTTACAATGGCCCTGAAAAAAGTGACTTATGACTGTTTTTTACACATATAACTGTTGTGTCAAGATAATGTGATCACTTTTTGCAACCTTTTGACAATTGGGAAGTCAGTTTCACTTAACAACTATGTTACTAACTTAGGTGATTCACTTAACACTTAACAATTTGGCAAGAAAAGTCATAAAATGGGGCAAAACTCATTTAACAATTGCTTCGTTTAGCAACAGAAATGTTGGGCTCAATTGTGGTCATAAGTTGAGGACTATCTGTACTTCTCTTGAGATTTAAGACTGGAGAGAAGCCCAGATTGCAATTTCCTGGAGACAACCTCCCTCAATCACTTTATATTAAGGTACATAAAAGAACAACACATAGCAATTTCTCCTTTTCCCCTCTCAGAAAATTCATGAATATGCAAATATATGAAATAAAAAGTAAGAATCAGAATTGTTTGTTTGTCTTATGTTATTTACAGCTCACATGAATGTGTTAAATTTACTTTGATTGTGTTGTTGAGCTTGCGTATTCTTGAAATGGGACTGAAGTTACATTTTTCACAATGAAATAACCATTGACAAGGTGCTATCTGGTGCATTTCCTCCTGAATCAGTTTTCTTCTTGGGCTTCGTTGCAACCATGGTAGGTAGCCTGCATGCCACTTCTTGGTCTGGGCAAATCAACAAACTAAAAATCTAGGACTTTCTTTTAAAATGATAGAAACCTAGTATTACACCTCTAATGTGAAAAGTCCCAGCAGTTGCCCTGATTGTTAATTGCTGCAGGTATTAGGTTACATGATAATTTCAGACAGTCAGGGTCCAATTAACAGACATAATTCTATGATCTTCCATTTTAAACTCCTTAGAAGATCCTGAATCTTTCAGGGTAATTAAAAATTATGACTTCCTACTCTTAGGTATATAGTGTGAAAAGCCCCAAGGTAAATAAACTAGCAGGATTTGAGATAACAGAGATCAGTAACATGTATAAATCCATTTTAGATTTATTACTTTCAAATGGGTAATTCATACCTGCTGGGTTACAGCTGCAGCTAAGCCACCTCCTGCGCTGTCTCCTGCAATGGCGATGCGACTTGGGTCTACATTATATTTCTCCAGAATGCTGCTTTGTAGAAAGTATTTTGATACTGAGTACACATCTTCAAATGCAAGGGGGAATCGATATTTTGGCGCTAGTCTGTAACTTTTGGAATTAATTAAAAACACAATGAAAGAAATATATAAATTCCTTGTGTTGCTAAAACAAAATTAATGTATCACTAGATTTACACTATTGATATTAGATTTTAAAAGATGATGTTCTTCAATATAGAATTTGCTGAATTTTTTTGAATTCATGACTTACTTGTGTGCTAAATGATCAACAAAATTTATTTTCCTTTTATCGACTAATTCTATTCTGGTCTATTTAGTCAATAGAATAATTACGCTTCATTGGAGTATATGCTTTATGGAAGCTATAAGTTATATGGAATAATATGAGACAGAATAATCTTTAACTTTAGAAAATACCATTAGCTTTTTTTAAAGCAGCTGTTAAGCAAGACTGATGTAATAATCTGTGGAAATATCCTTAAAGAAGAGAAGGAAGCACCACAAACCACAGATAAGAGATAGGAAACATCCCAGTCCACAAAAGGAATTGGGTGTGGAAAGCATCTCAGAAGGGACCATGCTGGTTCCTTAGAAAGTAAAGGAAACGGGGCAAAAAAAGCAAAATTCCTTTATTATAACTTTGCAATAAAGGTAGCGTTACTATCCATAGTGTTGAGTAGTTTCCATACAAGATACAATAGTTTGTCTGGATTACCACAAAAGGTTGACAATCTCTACATTGTTATATTTTGAAATGAAGATTTTAGTTTTTTGAAATGATTTGTGCATTCCATTTTATGTATTTAAATATTATTATACCGTGTTCCAATCATATTATATTTGTTTACAATTAGCAAAAAGTATAAAAGACAATACATTTAAAACTATATTAGCTATCCATTATAAATACGAAATAATACTTATAGCACAGTATATGCAAGGAAGTATAACTTAGCAACCAATAACAATATATATGGCTTCAATGTTCCAGTTTGTGCTATTGCTATTCATTAATTAATTTTTTGTTTATGGAAAAAGATTAGGAAAAGATTAATGAACAAAAATGTCTCCTTCAAACACCATTCTTACTCGACAGACACCACAACAGCATTTAGTCTTTCTGATGTCCATCTTGATAAGAGGTCATAGGCTTTCATGCCTGTGAAAAATAAGTGGCAAAACATGTTATATTATTCTTGCAACACCAATACACAGTGCATGGGTCAAAAACAATATGGGACAAGTCTTTAGACTACCACAAGGGTGAGAGTAGAATGTTACCATAGAAACTAAGAAACATTAAGATCATTTTATGAATGGCAGAATTGTTTCTGCCTCGTGTTCATGTGAGGTTTGAAGTCCTAAGCCTACAAATTCTAATGAGCTGTTTTTGGTTTCTTTTATGAGGGACTTTCTGGAAACTTTCCATGAATCTCTAATCCAATGTTCCCCAATGTTGGCAACTTCAAGATTTGTAGGTGCCAGTTCCCAAAATTCTACTGGCTGGGGAATTCTGGGAATGGAAATTAATGTTGGGAGCATCATAAAATTATTGAGGCAGGGATAAACAGCTCTAATCTC